AAAAAGACTTAAAGCGAGAAATCACCTCTATAAGAACTTACACATTTCATATTAAAGAACCTAAGTTTCAAATTACTTCACTAAAACAATATTATTTCCTATTCTAAGTCTTTTTGATAGGTAAAATAATAAACCAGATCTCTACAGAGAGCAAAACAGCAGAACACATATGCCTACTAATCTGTCTTCAGAAAAACAGAGAAAAGTTTTCACATTAATTTACAAACAGCAACTCATGAGGAGTTGATAACCCCAAACAGCTAGCTTAAAAAATGTTCAGTGGCAAAAGAACATATTTTATCACATATTCTGTTCTGGTTTGAGATTTACAGCTAAGGTTAAGGTACCTACCAAGCTTTATGGTTTTATTACACTTGAGGTATAATCAAGAAACTGAGTATCAAACCTAGTATACTTAATCAAAACACACTGACTGCCATTTTTATGTATATAACTAAATATATAGTACAAATCTGTATTTATATGTCATGTTTTAAGTGCACACACTTAAAACCCTAACAATCAGCATTTCTAGTAATCAAAGCGTTTGTTTACAGTCTTTTGGCCTACAGAATGAGGCTTTCCTGCTATTAGTCACTATGTTGCTAATCTAATTCCACTAAAGCAAAACCAAAGGGACTTCAGCAGATCCTGAAGCTATGTATGAAAGATAATTCCATACTCAAGGGAAAAGCCTGGAATAGGTTAGCTCATGAGAAGTAGCAAATTATTTCATGCTAGCTCCCCCAGTGAACACCCTTTCCCTGCAGTTGCAGTGCCGTTGCACTGTTTGGATTAATCCACTTTGGATGCTCAGAAGGCCAATTAACAGCCTCTCAGCTGCTGTAAGCCTTTCAACTTCGTTTGAGCTGAATTAGCTCATGCAGCTGAGGATGGAGCCCCTTTTTGTCCACCTCCGTGGAGCAGAGGTGACACCAGGCAGTGGCTGTGCCGCCATCTACCGTAGGTTTTGCACAGCACTGCTTGGTCCAAAGCCCGTCGGAATCGCTCCAGCAATTCTTCCCAGTAACATTCAGGCTCAGTGACACGGAATCCACTCCCTAAACACGTACCTAAATAACGGCCTGATCCCGCAATCCTTGCTCAAGGCAGAACTGCCTCCGCATACTGCAAGCTAGCTGCTGCTAATTAAGCATCTCATATTGCGTTACCATTCTTCTGCTTTTGAGATCTGTCCTGTAAATGTAAAGTTTGCGTGCTTCATAGCACTACTAACCATTGCCTTAAAAGTCAATTGAATGTAGCATAACACTCAAAAATATGCTCAAGTTTTCCTGAACCAGCTTATTGCATATCATGTAGCCCAATGTGTGCCATCCATTAAACCAAAGAGATTCACTGTCTTCACGAAAATTTTCCGGGTGCAAGTCAGAAGCTGCACACATGCAGTTATCTCTCCATTTTAATGGCTTAAGCTTCCCTTGGTCATCTCAGATCTCAAGTTATATTGAAATCTTTTGTAATTGCTCTTTGGAGGCTTTTTGATTGCCCCCTCTCCCCCTCAGTAAGTCTCTGGAAAGCAGTCCAGGTCTCCTTATTCATGCATGCAAATGGCTCTATCACGAGCAGGGGCAACGGACTTCACAGCTGTGGTCCTTGTGGGGTGATGTAGCAGTTGCATTTTGAGGACCAACTTCCAGAAATAAGGAACAATAAAACAAAACCTAAAAATTGCCCTGCTAGTGACAGACACCCTCTAGCTATGCCAAACGCTGCAAGCTCCCCCAGCCTCCTGACAGAGCAGTCAGAAGCCACCTCTGCTCCCATTACCCAATAGGTAGAGAAAGGCTGATGGAATAGTTCCAAGCAATCAAGTTGGAAAACATCTGCCAGAGTAAACTTTAATTTAGCGCACTCTACACAATATTTATAGAGCAGATCTATGAATGCTGCTTGAGCCATTTAAAGGCTGGAGACTAAATTCTGTTTTCTGAATGTTTATTCTGACTTTCTCCAACTGTTCTTCTTACTTGACAGTGCTTAGTTGGCAGCGAGCCATGAAAGCTGTTGTCTAATTACACAACATATCATGATCTTACAGCCCTACAGATAAGGCTTTACTGCAGCATAAATGAATTTTAAACATTAGCGTATGAGAAAAAGACAATTAGGCTCCAATTATAATACTTCAAAGCCTTGTGTGTCAATAGTCATTATTATTTAAGAAAGCATGGTTTTGAAAGAGGAACTTATATTAGATATTATATAACCTTTAATGTTAAACAGGCTACAATTTAGTGGGATGGCTGGCTAACCCTTTATGCATGGCAGAAATCTATTCTGATTTCTGAGCACGTACTTTAGCCTGCCTTAAAGATACCATGTATTTCAAGTCATCAGTCCACTGAAGGATTACCACAGCATTATGATGGCACAGCTACATATGAGGTTAGGAGAAGCATAGATTTTGTGAATCTCTTGCAACATTTTGCTACATAAACAGCTTTGAAATAAAGGCATAGTTAATCCATTCTTAAATGGTCTCAAACCACATACTTTTACAGAAAACACAATTTCACATTGCAAACTATAATGACTGTTAAAGAAGAACATACAACTGTTTGACTTATCTTCTGCTAATAAGATCCTAATTGTTTTGTATTTAAAGATGTTTTACGCTAGGTCTGACTTTGTGATGTAAGTGCAGTTAGCAAGTTCCAAGTTTTAAGATGATGGGAGTCCTCTCTTCACTGCACATAAAACTCGAGGGACGGGACGCAGCTATGTGCAATAAAAAGATTGTTTTGCTTTTATATGAAACAAATTGCATTCTCCTCTCTTTCAGTAGATACTATGCAGATGCAACAATAACCACGACATCATCACGACTGCCAATTCTCTTCCTGATGCACTGATTAGAAAACTTGGAAAAAAGAATCACACCCTACAGCTGCATGGGGTAGGTAGTTCTTGCGTGTAGACTGAAAAAGTAGAAAGATGTATTTGTGCATTTCAGTGTATTCTACCACTTCTTGGCAAGATCATGCAGAAGCTCATGCAGACGCGCAACTTAACTCACAGCACAGTTCTGCAGGCTAAGGGGGACTGCTCAGATGAGTAGTTACTGCTCTGAGTACACTGTTGTCAGACTGGGCCCCTTACAGCCTTCTCAGCAGCAATGCTCTACACAGAATGGCTGTTCTCGGAGATGCACACAAAGCTTTCAGCCTCTCATTTTAGGAGAATGATGCTGTCCTCCCCCATAAACTAAGTAACCTAAGAAATACAGTGGTAGAACCTGATTCCACACAAATTCAAAGTGAAGCCTTCATCATAGCTCTGTTTTTCAAGAATTTGGCTTTCTATGAAATACAGAAATGGAGGTGGTAAGATTCAGCTGCTTTGACATCTAAAGCTTTGCAAACATTAAGTGCATGATAAAGTATGAAGTTGCAAGGTGGAGCAAGTGAAGTAGTGACATATGATACAGCAGCCCTCTCCTCCCTGTTTGTAAGCCCATGTTATGGGTGTTTAACAGAAATACAGCTGAATTAACAGAATGTCTATCAGACAGCATGGCAATCTACTGAAGTACTCCACGCTTTACACTTTAGTTAACCAGGGATCTGCTTAAGTCACTTCAGCAAACTTAAAACACTTAAAACAAACAAGATGTTTTAATTTAACAGAATTTATCCCCAGGTTTATCTGGATTTATGTAAAACAACCCAAGAACCAAAACGTGGCTCTCCACCAGCGAAGCAAGTCAGAGAATTTCTTCCAACACTTGCATAACAGGGCTTACTTTTTCAGCATGCTACTATAGCGAGATGTAGTCACTTAAGAGTTACAATGCAATATATTGTGATTTACTACAGTTACTTCAATTTGAGATTGCACAGGCAGCAAAACCGAATAAAGGTTACATTTCTAGCAGTGACAGCCAAAAATACATTACCAGAAGCAAGCTGTTACTAAAAGCCTAATTAGCACTACAAGAAAAGCTTGAAACTCCAAGCCATGGAAACAGCCATATGACTTTTACTTTGAAATAATTTCTTTTTTTAAAATAAATATATAAATAAATAAATAAAAAATACGACAATGAAGTGCGTGTGAGGTCCGTGCGAAGGCAGCCCCAGATGTTTACAATGGAGCGAGTAGCGGTAACAGCGGCACCGGCGGGGCGCACGCCCGGGACGCGGCGGGCACCGGCATCGCCTCACCGCCCGGCACCCCCACGGCGGGCAGCAAACCCAGGAACGACCCCCGCCCGCAGGAGGGGAAAAAACAAACAAACACACAAAGAAAAAAAAAAAAAAAAACAACAACACTTTTGAAAATCCCTCTGTCCTTCGGCCGCGTGCGCTCTCAGTAACAGAGCTGCTGATGCAGAGAGAACTGGCTGGTTACGTGGCACTGGCCTCTCCTTCCTTCGTTAGAAACTGCTAAGAATGTCTTTGGAATTTTTTTTTACACTGAAACTTTCTCAACTGGGCAGCAACGGGAGTTTCCACAGAGGTTTTATGTGATCAGAAGTGACTAAGTTATACGTTCTCTGTGAAAAAAAAAAAACAACAAACCCCCAACCCAACGCTGTTCGGGGCACGGGGAGGAGGGAGCGGGGAGCAGACAGCGCTGGTGCGGGTCGGGGAGAAGAGTGCGTGTGTGTGTGTGTGTGTGTGTGTGTGCGCGCGGGGGAAATCCATGCATTGTTTCCATACAGCGTTCTCGTCAAGGCACTTTAATGACAGGGGATAATGATTTTCAGATTCGGGAGAAAATGCCCCCCCCCCCCCGCCCCCCAAACTCCGCGCCACATCCTTACAAATCCTTCTAATTTGCTCATCGGCCGGGCAGGGGAAACAAACTGTGGCGCGGCGAAGCCATTTGCAAAACAAACGCAGTAAAAGGGGAGCGAGGGGCGGACAGGGGCTGGCGGGG